AACTACATTACGATTTGTTTCTCGTTTTGATTAAAATGAGTGAATATATTGATTCATTGAAGAGAGAGAGAGAGAGAGAGAGAGAGAGAGAGAGAGAGAGAGAGAGAACTTTCTACTATACTGTATATATCATAGGAATTAATTAATAGGAAGCGAATTAATCAAAAAACACATTCATTTCGTGTTTGAAGTGAAAATTAAAATCAGAGACAAATGACTGAAATGAATGAATAAATGAATGGAAAACAGAAAATATTTTGTGTTTGCTTTGATTTTTCTAATTAGAAATCATTAATTAATTTTTCAAATTATAAGGTCTTTAGTAAATGAAAAAAAAGTTTTACAAATTAGAGAACAAAACATTTAAATAATATTTTTCAATCGTTAAGCGCAGGGAAAATATTAGGCATAAAAATATGTTGATTAGACAAATATCCAGAAAAAATATAATTTATGTCAAATATGTTTGCACATGGGAGATTCGCTAAATATTAGGGTAAATTTTTGTTTTAAAATATTATCATTTGTCAGTGTTTTTGGTGCATAATTTTAATGCTTGAATTCTGACAATTAAAATTGTGTTTAGCAAAACAAAAAATAATATCACCATTATAAATTAGTCAGAAAAAAACAAAATGCTCACTTCAAATACTACACACACAATAATTATCATAATGTAGTAAATTATCATATGTTATTTGCCTCCAAAATAATTTTAATTTCATTAAAATATTCAAAAATTAAATATATTTTCTGAACGCAATAAAAATAAGCAAAATTTATAGAAAAATAGCATAAAATTTGAATATATCTTAAAAATATTTATTCAAGTAATAAATTGCTGTGAAATATCATATTTATTTATGGAGCAAATGTATGCAAATTCTGGCATTTACAGAATATTCTCAACATTTAAAATTCCCTTGGTCATAATTAAATGATAAAAATAAGTAATGGTTTTTATTATTCCATGTTTTATCGTTGATATATCAGATGCAATGGTTGATCACATTCTTGGGTGTAATACTACTCGGGGTAGACATTGGTCTCATTGTCGGCGTTATATTCTCCATAATATGTGTGCTCTTAAGGTTTACCATGTAAGTTCTCATCACATTTTTACCATTATAAATTCTCTCTCTCTCTCTCTCTCTCTCTCTCTCTCTCTCATCCATCTATTGGTATTATAATTCGTATTAATGTTTATATATTTAGCCCCAAATCGACAATCAATGGACAGTTGCCTTTCAGCGAGATTTATGTCGATTCGCAAGAATTCTCTGAAGCGAAACAAATACCGGGAATAAAAATATTTCAATTTCATTGTCCGCTCTTTTTCATGAATTCGCACAACTTTAAGACTAATCTCTATAAGAAAACATTGAATATATCGAGGTTTGTATGAAAACACAGTTACCAAATATCATAACTAAAAATCACCATCATTATAAATTGTCTAACAATATACTGTATATTGAACTATATTGAACTCAAACCCATTGACACCATCAGCGAAGACATTGAGCGTCTACACGAGGAGAAGCCTGTGATCCATACGATTGTATTGGACTTCTCGTCGGTGTTCTTCGTGGACAGCACTGGCGTCGAGACAGTGATTGAGTGCATCGACGAGTTGGACGACCTGCGGATCAAAGTGATTATCTGCCAGTGCTCTCAGTCTGTCATACAAATGATGGACAAAATGCGATTCTTCGCCAAACTGGCCAATCCTCACATCTGTGCCACCGTTCACGACGCCGTTGTGCTCAATGATCGCACCAATTGTGCCTGATGCTAGCTAAATGCTAGTTCATCTAGTTAACTCTATGTGGTTATATTTTGTATAGATCATTATTAATTAGCTATGTATTTTATTAATTGTATTTTTGATGATTTAGTGGTTTTTAGTATAGTATTTATTAATTTTTTTGTTGCCATTTCCTGACACCCGTTGTTATGGACGGGATTCACCATTAAATTCATTTATTGATAATCATAAAACATTTTTGTTTTTAAAGCGATTGCTTTATTAACAAACTTATAGCCAAAAATATATTTTTCTATTATAATATATTTTTGAATAAACTATATATTGTTATTTTTTATCATGTTATTTTATAGGATTGAATTTTAATTAACTAATTCTTATAAATGATTGTTCTCATACCTATTATTATTAATAATACAATTTCTATTTATTTTATTTAGACTTTAATTATAATAAATTCTAATCTTTATTTTAAATTAAATAATAAAATGAAAAATATTGAAAACAACTATTGTTTAAAAATTTAATTATATTTTTATAAAATAAATCGATAATAAAAGATTTCATACAAATAAACTTTAATTATAGATAATAAACAAAATGAATATTATATTAGTTTTTTGAATAGATATTTAATAATAAGCAAAAATGACATAATAGTAATCTTTTTATAATTACGGCTAAGTCTTCAAGAATTTTGCCGTAAATATTGATCCAAAGATGTGATGGTGTGCTAATACAACCGCTGCTCTCAATAGATAATCATTATTAAAATTGATTTTCAAATAAAATATTTTTAAATCATTAATATTGCCTCTGATTATAGAGAAACGTAAGGAATAATATATGAAATATTTATTATAACTTATATTACATTAATGAGAGAGAGAGAGAGAGAGAGAGAGAGAGAGAGAG